TAAGGTTAGATGTTGATTCACGCGTACTGGGACATCCATATGGACCCCCATAGATACCAGTAGACAAATAAAAAAAAAAGTTGTTATTCTTGCTTTTTGAATATGAGATTATGATGTTGTTGAGCTATTTCCTTTATAAGTCGGTTTTGAAAATCTCGCAACGGTAAGTATGCAATAAATAGTTTTACTTATGATAAATGAATTTACTTAAATTAAAAACTCTATTAGTTATTTTAATGATTTTTATCAACTTTCATTTTTTGTATCGATGAGTAATATGATATTCTTATTGAGCTAATATAGCTCACCCCTTCATTAACTATTTCAAATTAAGAAAACCAAGACCTAGATCATGATTAACAAAAGAGTTGTGAATAGTTCACCAACCGGACTCCTTCAAAAGCTAGTGAAGGTCGTCATAAAATGCTCAATTGTTTATTTTTCGTTTATTTCTTTGATTTTCATTTGTTCTTTTAGAATGGACATTCTCGTAATTTTATTAGACATTCTAAATTATTGTGTAAGGAATATAAACCCTAAACTCTATTGTTTTACTTCCGCATTTAATTCATATCTTTATTTCATTTTCAGTTTCAGGCCGTTACATTGTATATTAATGTATGTTAATGACATTGTTTTATTTGGATGGTAAGATGATATAGTTGTATTTCAGTCAAATTATTAATTTATCACAACTTATTATATATAATAATAAATAGTATATAAGAAATATGTAATGAAAAAAAAATTATTTACTAATATAATTATATTTGTATTTAAATAAATAATTATTATACATAATCAAATTAAATTTTTATATTTAATAAAATAAATAATTATTATTTATATTATCACATTAATTTAATTTTAATAAAAATAAAATTATTTATATATTAGAAACAAATTATTATAATTATATATTATCATATTAAATTTAAAATTATTTCAACAAATAAAAAATTAAAATATATTTAAAATAATCACATATTATGAGTTAATTTATTAATTAATATTATCTAAAAATTAATCATAAAAAAAAATTCATTTGTGATGATAAAAATAAAATTAAGTAAATTATATTAGAGTATAAAGAGAAAAAAATGACATACTGATCACATACCATCAATTCGATAGTTTTAAAATTCATCTCAAATTTATTACAATTGGGAGTTGAAATAAACATAACTTTTTTACACTCGTAGAATATCATATATTAATTGACTATCATTCAACACGATTAAAAAAAAAATGTAAAAAGTAAAGATTTATTGAGTTTAAATTCAATTTATTTACCTCAACTCTGTTAATATATTAGAAAGTTTTACTAAATTAATTTATAATATTTTGAACAAGAGGATGGGTTCATAAATCTTCTAATATAACTGAAAAAAAATCATTAATATAAATTCAATTTCTGCATAGCAATAGTTTTAGTAAAACTTCACAAACACTAATTCTTTTTGGAATTCAAATTTATTTTTCTGAATTATTTCTTTTAATATAAATGATTTATATATGTTATTGTGGAATTTATAAATAGTATGACCCAATTTAACAAGCAGTTGAAATTCATTGCAGAATAAACAACCCAATATATTTATTGAAGATAATAAAATTATTTTGAAAAAAGAAATATAACTAGTTTTTTTCATTAAATATAATATAATTATTTAAATAATTTGTTTATTTTTATAAAACAATTCCCCACTGTAACTAAGTATTTGGTAACTAGAGAATTTCGCCGCCAAAAATGACCCTCTTTCTTCTACTCTCGTAGGAAACCGCGCGGAAAAGAAAATTATTAAACATTTAATTTCTATTTTCTTTTCTTTTTCTCTTCAAAAAAATATTTTCGTTATTTGTCGACAGTTCCGTTGCCCGCAAGAAAATCTCAACTTGCAAGAACTATCTCTCTGCCATTTCTTGATTTCTATAAATCAATCTAAAAATACGCCTTCCGATTTCGAAGAGAAGAAAAAGGAGAGGATACTCTGTTGACTGCTTCCGACAGATTTGTTTCGACTTTGCAACGGATCCACGAGTCATGAATGCATCTACTTCCCGGCCTCAATCGCTTGGCCAGACTGAGATTAACTGGGACAAGTACGTCTCTTGCTCTCCCTGTATCTATTTCTCTCTTCTTGTTCAATCTTGTCTTTATTTGGGGATTATATGTCTTTGTTTATCGTGCTTCTGTTTTCTTTGGTTATTGGGAAAATGAGGAGAAGGCAAGGAGAAATCAGAGATTGAATTTCCTGTTTGGTCTTTGTTTAGGTCTTAGTCTTCATTATGCTCAAATTATTTGACTTAGTTTTGTTCGTTTCTTAGCTTTTATTTTTTCCGTTTCTTATTCATTTTAAATCCTAAAAATAAGGGCCTCAAATTATTTCGAGTATTTGGGATTCTTGTTTTTAAAGAAACTTTACTCGAATTCAACTGAGACTTTTAAACCTCAATTTCTTTCTTTTGCATTGTGCCATACGTCCTCTGAACACTTGCCTGTGGCCCCAACAATGGTCAACTGAATTATTGTTGGCCGCTAATATACAAGGTCAAGTATGGGTTATACGTGCATAGAGGTATCAAGATGTCGTAGTTTAAGTAACTTAAAAAGTTGCATATAGGGAAGGCTGGTTTACATATTACTAAGAAATGGTTTACAATAGCATATAGGGAAGATAGGATGAGAGAATAACTCATTAATTAGAGGGCTTGGACAATTTTATAATGAGTTTGTAGGAGGTAGCCATTCCATGTTATTTGAACAGATTATTGCAAGAAACCTAGCGTGAGTTTTTGCTTTGGGGGTTTGAGCCTTTATGCTGTTTGCATTACTTGGTTAATGGCTATCGAGATTCATGCCAGAGAAAGATAGTATATAAAGAACTTAGATAAAAATTGATAGTCTATTAGACATTTGGAAGGGTCCTTCAAGGATTGGTATATGAATTGAGCTGGGAGAAATGTATTATTCTTTTGTTTTTTCCATTGGAGAGGTTTAAGTGGGGCAGGGGACACTGTTCTTCTATGACAAGAATATTTGCATGGGGAGAGTCCTTTAAAGAATCAATTGCCAGATCTCCGATCACTCCATTGCTAAAAACGGGGATGCCTGAAAAGTTCTTGATTTCTCACATTTTGGTGGAAAGTTGGCTTACACAGTGCTTTCATGTCCAATGCAATTAGGGCTACAAACATAACATCCTCCTCATTCAGATGTATGGCTGCTATAAATCATTTCAAAGAAAGTTTTGAAAGAATGGACTTGCCAATCTTGGAGATTTTGGGTAAAGGCTAAATTCTGAACAACATCTTCCTGATACCAGTACTGGCAACATAGCAAAGGAATCCTTAAATCTCCCTATTAAATCTTGCCCAACAACAGGATCATGGGAAAAGGGAATGCAATCACCTTTTGCAATCTTAAAGCTTGCCCAAAGGAAGCACTTAGGATGTGGCACGAAGAATCTTGGCAACCAAAATTTGCAGATCTATGCAAGTTTTAAATTCTTAATATATTCTTGTTGGAGTTTGGACTTTGGTTATTTGGCTCACTATTATAAGTTTATTTTGTTCAGCCTTTTCTATTTATCCAATATCAGTAATTGCAGTCTACATGAAATTTAGATTCACTCATTATCTTTAAATCTCATGACACTAAAGCCTCTAAAATGTATAAACTGCTTGTATTCACCATGTCACTTGTTTCTTGCAGGCTTGACAAGACTAAATTTTATGTCGTGGGTGCTGGCCTCTTTACAGGGGTTACTGTTGCACTCTATCCTGTTTCTGTTGTAAAAACCAGGCTTCAGGTTGCTTCAAAAGATGTTGCTGAGAAAAATGCATTTTCGGTTGTTAGAGGCATACTGAAAACGGATGGGATTCCAGGTCTATACAGAGGATTTGGTACAGTCATCACAGGCGCAATTCCTGCAAGGATCCTATTTCTTACTGCTTTAGAAACCACAAAAGTTGCTGCTTTCAAGATGGTTGAACCATTTAAATTTTCTGAACCTACACAGGCAGCCATAGCAAATGGCATCGGTGGCATGTCAGCATCACTTTGTTCTCAAGCAGTGTTTGTTCCAATTGATGTGGTGTGCATTGCATGTCTTTGTCTTGGCATTTATTTGCTGCTCTCTCTTTCAAACACAGACACAACACACATTCAGGGAAACCTAATTCAAGTTGCTAATTTTGTCTCCTAACCAATCTTGTCCAGGTGAGTCAAAAGTTGATGGTACAAGGGTATTCGGGCCATGCAAAGTATAGTGGAGGTCTGGATGTTGCTCGTAAAATTATAAAGTCTGATGGCATTCGAGGATTATATAGAGGGTTTGGTCTTTCTGTTATTACGTATTCCCCATCTAGTGCTGTATGGTGGGCAAGTTATGGTTCAAGCCAACGTGTCATTTGGAGGTAAAGCACAGATTGTTGTTTTAAGTAAATAGTACATGCAATTTTTCGACCTAAATTCTACTCTTTTTTATTGAATATCTGTTGGAGTCCTTTTGACTTTTAATAAATAACCCAGTAAATAGTCTTTCTTTTGTCAATCCTTTACATTGTCTATGTGATTATTTGCATTTGAAATTTGGTGGAGGTTTCACTTACTGGATAAATTGAAGGAGTTGTTCCTGAAAAAGATATTTTCTTCTCTTTGTACTCATTTTCCTATATCCTCTAAGAGGGTGTCATAAATGCAATATCATACTTCAAGTTGGATGCCTATAAATGTAACATCCAGAGATAGGATGTGGTTCAATATGTTGGCAAGCTGATTGGAAAAATTACAGGTCTTCTAGATAAACTCTATTGATAATTGTGGTAGATTATATAATTCATCAGATTTCATGTTCATGTCCTATGCATTAATTTCTTGCTTATCTTTGATAAATCAAACTTCTGTTCTTGGCAGTCTGTTAGGCAATCGAGCTGAATTTAAGGATGCCACTCCAAGCCAGTTGACGATAATGTCAGTTCAAGCTTTTGGAGGAATTATTGCTGGTGCAACAGCGTCCTTAATAACAACCCCTTTGGACACTATTAAAACTCGTTTACAGGTATCCATAATACTTATTAGACATTGGATTATTTATATCTTTTACAGTTTGCTTAAGTTTTTCAAGATGATATGCTCCTATTACAAATGAATCAAAAAGAGAAAAAAGGAGCGCTCCTATTACTATTAATCTGTAAGTTAGTAGTAAATTTTTTGTAGTAGATGTGAATTTCTTTGTGGAGTTTGACACCAACCCCCTTACCTCTCTTGGACATGAAGAGTCATGAGGTGTTATATAAAACTTTGAAGATTAAAATAGAGAATTTAAAGTGCCTCCCTGCTATTGAAGTTTGACCTTTTGTTCTCCTTTTCAAATTTTCAAATTCATTTTTATGATCAGATCTGGGTTAGGAAACCAAGAAAAAAGCATGCTTGTATGACTTTCTCAATAGCTATCTGTCATGCTTTGCATTTTAATCCTGCGCTAACCTCTAAATGTTTTTCCTGTTAAATAAAATATTTCTTAATTTTCTATATATATAAGTTTCATATATTAAATATGGAATAACTGTTACAACTTTTTTTTTAAATTTTTTTATAAAAGAAGAAATATCATAGTGGCCAATTAACTTAATATGTCAATTCATTTTAATAATATTTGTGGGCCTTGATTAGGTCATGATCAAATTTAATCTATCAAATATTTTCATTCTTACAATAATATCAAAGTCATTGGCATGGTACCATCTATTTCCTTTTGGTGTTATTAAAGATTTTGTGACTGACATGGAAGCGATGGTCATTCCACATTATTGACATCTTTTTGAATCATAAATTATTGTCTGATGAATGGAAAGTATGGCGGGTAGATGGCCAGATTAATGAAGTGTATAACTGTTAGTGCTGGAGTGCATTACCCAAAACTTTACCCAAGTTCAAAAGGCCTTGCTTCCTTGATAATGAGGAACATCTAATGTCCAACAAGAGTGGGAATGGGATACTGTTAGCCTTCAAAAGCATGTGGTCAGACAACTTATACATATGCGTGGATTTCTTTCAAAAAGTGTAGGTGGGTTGGTAGGCCTAGGTAAATTACAGGCTTATGCAATGCTCTCAAGACTGCAACCCATGAGTTGCTCTCAAGTTACTCGTCGTTCTCTGTCCTCTCTCTAAGACGCTTAATATAACAGGGTCTTGATTTTTTTAAACTTTTAATTTATGTGCAGGCAGCACAAATGCTCGCTGGCTCAATGTATGTATGCATGCTTTACTGTTAACAATAGGATTTCTTTCGCATTCTTCTGGCATTAATTAAAGTGTTAGGTTAGTGTTTAAATTATATGCAATAGGAAGTAATGAATTTTTATATTCTAATTGCTTCAATTGGTTGTGCCTCTCCTTTCTCAGTGTTTATCGCAACCGATGTGCAAATTTTGTTTTTAATCATTTGTAGTTTATCTGATTTCAATCTTGTCCACATTATTCATATGGTTTCTTTTTTGTCCTTTTGGCGAGCTCAATGGGTCAAGTTTTTTGTTGGACTAGTGCATTTATCGATTATGTGATACCTTCTGAATTATTTTAGCTGAAGTTTCCATCTAACCTGTTCAATTTTTTGTATGGTTTCTGTTGAACTCATTTAAGTTCACCTTTTCTATTCCTCTTCCAGAAATCGATTTCTTATGATTGTGCGATTTTAAATGGGGAAAAGTGATTGTACAATTTGTAGACATGCTAAAAAAGAATAATGAAAGTAGATAAAAAGCATTGGTGCCTAAAAGTCATAGTCAAATCTCATGGAATGCAATTGACTTTGTCAATTTGTTTAAGATCCTGCTAGTACTTGATAAGGGGGAAAAAAGAAGTACTCATTGGCATATAACTTTTTGCTAGGAAATTATGTGGACTCTGCCTTTAGGATCCTTTAGATAAATGTGCTTGGATTTTCTTTAAACGGAAGCTAGTGCCTTTTTGCTGTTTTTTTTCCCTTCTGAACTTTTACTTCGATATAATTTTGTGTTTTTATAATACTTACCATATTTTGGTACTTTGAAATGTCATATCCTAGAAACGCTGGTCTAATTTTGATTCTCCCACACAAACTGGTTTTCTGATTCTCCCATGTAAACCGGTTGTTTCTGTACTCCAGGTCATGGGACATGAAAAAAGACCTTCTGCGAGAGGGGTTGTCGAAAAATTAATAGCAGATGATGGTTGGAAAGGATTTTACAGAGGGTTGGGTCCAAGATTTTTCAGCATGTCGGCTTGGGGAACCTCGATGATATTAGCATATGAGTACTTGAGTATGATCTCTATCTTCTTTTACTATTATTATGGAGTTTCATTTATGCATTATGAGATGAAATCATTTATTAGTGATCTATAATTTCTGCAAAATGAACTGTAAAAGGTTAAAAATATTTGAAAGAAGACTGCAAATACGGAACACATTTGCATATCGGGATCTACTTTCTTCTTTCTGTTACTAGTTGATTAATCATCTAGAATGGTGCTGGTTTGTGGTCTAAATTCTGGAAGATTCAATATGTTGGAACATAGGAGCAAATACTTGTTATATTCTGAATGATTAGATTGTTTATGGCTTCATCATCATATGTCCCCTTGTATAATTTTGTTTTATTATATTTCTATGTTTATGTTGTGTACTTATTAGTTGGTTATTCATAAGCTGCTACATTTCTTCTTGTGTTTGTGTTGTATACTTTTGTGGACACTATTAGTGTCCTGAGATATAAAAAAGAAATAGTTTCGATCCATATACTAACAGATTGCATATGCATAATGGAACTACCGGCAAAATGCATTTGTATGTGTACGTCATGGTATCAGCCCTGCTGGAAGAACATGAACTACTAGGGAGAAAGTCTGCTCGTTGTTTATGTGATGCATTAATGTCAATGCGTTTCCCTGGATCTTCCTCTGTCTTTCTTTTACTTGATGATGATAATGTGTATTTTTAGACACCTGTATCTGTCTTTTTAGTTTATGTGAAGCTCACTCAATTCTCTCTCTCTTTTTTTTTTCTATTGCCAGAGAGATTGTGTGCAAAAGATGAATAGGTTTTGTAAGATCTTTCTCCGTACAACCTCTGCTTCTTGCTGCCTGCATGAATGGTAGAGATTTTCTTCTGCAGCTGATGGGAATATCCATCATACTTTTGAAGATTTGTTTGCTAGAACATGGGGATTATTTTTTCTGTTCTCCAGATCCAGATACAAATCTAACTGTACACCACAGCCAATTGTTTTTACCATTTTATTTGAGGAGCCAACCTCATGGCTGTACACCGGGTTATATACTGATTTTTTTTTTTTTTGAATTTTTTGTTGGATCCAGTCAAGATTCTTTAAAGCTAGGCCGAACTTGAAATCAATTAGACGTAGCAAGTGTATAATTCTTTTAATACACAATATACAGTGAATCAGAGCAAGGGATTTAGTTTCCAAGTTTGATATGCAGAAGTGATGATCTCCCTCTGTTTTCAAGACTTTGGGTTTTGGAACTAGTGGAATCCGAAACCAATTGATCTTTCTAGTTTCTTTGCACTTCAAAGCTTAAAACTGTCATCCCTAAGATGATTAGTGTTGGGTTTTAGTCTTAAAATTCTAAAGTTCAGTCTTCTAAAGTAAATTAGTCTTGGGTGGTAGCTCCTCCATAGGAGTTTTCTGTAACCCAGATTAAAAAATGGTTATGTTTCTCTCCTCCAAGTTCTAAGTTTTTAATGGTTGAAATCAATTAGATGTTAATGTATTCTTTTAAAGACTAAAATTGCAATATAACTAGAGTTTTGATTAATTTATTCTTCAATATCTCAATAACATGTTAATGTATCATCTTAAAATATTTAAGAAGTGTGAGTTATTAAAAATGAATTCCTGTGGTAATTAATGTTTATCATTGTGGTTCAGTATTTTTCGTCATTACATATAAAATTATTAATTCTTCAGTACATTTTTAATATTTTTATTTCTTTCTTTTAATTTTAATTTTCTAAACCACGATCTTCAACATAATGTAGAAATATTTTCTAAAAATTAATTAAAATGATGGATTTTTAAAAATAGAATTTTGTCAGAATATGCAAGACTTATATATATATATATATATATATATAATATTTTAATTAATTTTTAAAAACAAAAAAGCCCAATTTAACAAGCAGCTGAAAAATATTTAAAAATTAACGGTCCAATATATTTTTTAAAGGAAAGAAAAATATTTCCTCGTTATTTTGGAAAAAAGAAAATAACTTAGTTTTTTCATTAAATATAATATAATTTGCAAACTCGTATATCTAAATAGTTTATTTTTTAAAAAAAAAAAATTTATACTGTAACTGACGGCAATGCGATATTTCCTATAAAACCACGTAAATGTCCCTGCATGAACTAAATCTTTTGTAACTAAATCTTCTGCATTCATGCGAAGTCGCACGGAAAAGGAAATTATATTCGATTTCCATTTTCATTTCTTTTTCTCTTCAACAGTTTTTTTGGTTATCTGCTGAGTTTTCTGTTGCCCACAAGAAAATATCAGATTCAAGAAAGTATCCACGGATCGTGAATGCGTCTGGTTCCCGGTCTCGAGCGCTTGGGCAAATTGAGACTGAATTGGACAGGTACGTCTCTTCTTGTTATTCTTTATTTGGAAATTAAAGTTTGGAAAGAAAGAACTCGCCAATCTTGGAGAATTTGGGTAAAGGCTAAATTCCGAACAACATCTTCCTGATTCCAATACTGGGAACATAGCAAGGAATCCTTGAATTAAATCACCTTTTGCGACTAGAATCTACTTAAATCAGGTTTGCAATTCAAGATTACTGGTTGCTCATTCTTGGCTCTCGCCGGAGATTGAATTTGCCAACCGGCAAAAGCTCAACCCTCAGGGTCAACCAAATAATGCACCCTGCGTTGAACAGAAAACCCATGTAGATTGTATGATAAAGGCCTTGTTTTCAAGTGTAGCGTGTTGTTTCCGTTTGGATTTTTGCTCTGGTGCTGTCTTGCTTGTAAATATTACAGAGTGTATATTTAAAATAAATGGCCTGCTATGTTTTTGTACAGTACAAAGATGATAAAATTTTTGAGTGTGTAAAATCATGTAGCTGTTTCTCTGTGGGCAGTTCCAAATTCACACGGGTCTCGAGTCTTTCTGACTCAATGTCATTGACGGGCCAAAAGTACAGTTTGTCATAAAAGTAGGATAAAACAGGGAAACCAAAAGAGGAAGAGATCCAGGAACAAGAGCTTCATGATGCTCACCCAACAACAGGATCACCTTTAACAACCTAAATCTTGCTCAAAGGAAGCTCTTAGAGTGTGGCAAGAACAACCTTGCCAACCGAAATTGCAGATCTATGGAGTTAGGTTCTTAGTATTTTCTTGCCGGAGTTTGGACTTTGGTTCTTTGGCTCAATCATAAGTTTGTTTTGTTCGGCCTCTTCTATTTATCCAATATCAGTAATTGCAGTTTACATGAAATTTAGACTCACTCATTATCTTTAAATCTCATGACACAAAATCCTTTTCCCTGATTTATTGTGGCTTTGAAATGTATAAATTGCTTGTATTCATGTTTCTTGCAGGCTTGACAAAACTAATTTTCATGTTGTGGGAGCTGGCCTCTTTACAAGAGTTACTGTTGCACTGCATCTTGTTTCTCTCGTCAAAACTAGGCTTCAGGTTGCTACGAGAGATACTGTCGAGAAAAATACATTTTCAGTTGTTAGAGGCATACTGAAAATGGATGAGATTCTGAGGGCTGTACAGAGGATTCTGTGCAGTCACAGTTGTCACATCCGCAATCCCTACAAGGATTTTGTTTCGTGCTGCCCTGAACACTGTAGAAGTTGCAGCTCTCAAGATGGTTCAATCATTCAATTTATCTGAACCTACACAGGCAGCCGTAGCAAATGGCATCTGTCATGTTAGCATCACTGTATTCTCAAACTGTGTCCATTCCAGTTGATGTGGTGTGCATTGCATGTTTTTTTGTTGGCATTTATTTGCTGCTCTCTCTTTCAAACACATACACCACACACATATAGGAAAACTTAATTCAAGTTGCTACTTTTATTCTCTTTACCAATCTTCTCCAGGTGAGTCAAAAGCTAATGGTGCAAGGGGATGCAGGCCATGCAAAGTATAGTGGGGATTTGGATATTGCTGTCAAACTATAAAGTCTGATGGCATCCGAGAATTATACAGAGGGTTGTCTTTCTCTTATTATGTATTCCCCATGGAATGCTGTATGATGGGCAAGTTGTGGTTCCAGCCAACGTGTCATCTGGTGGTAACTCCTTTAGTTTATCCAATTACTGAAACCTCCACCAAATTTCAAATGCAAATAATCACATTTACAATATTAAGCATTGAGAAGAGAACAACTCCTACTGGGTTATTTATCAAAAGTTAGAAAGACTTCATATCAGATATTCAACCAAAAATTGTAGAATTTAGGCTGACAAAATGCATTTACTGTTTACTTAAAACAACAATCTGTGCTTTACCTCCAGGTGACTAGTTAGCTCGAACAATATATTGCCCACCATAGAGCACTTGATGTGGAATACATAATAACAGAGAGACCGAACCCTCAGTATAATCCCCGGATCCCATTGGACTTTATAATTTTACAAGCAACATTCAGATCGCCACCATACTTTGGGTGCCCTGCATACCCTTGCACCATTTGCTTTTGACTCACCTGGACAAGATTGGTAAAGAGAACAAAATTAGCAATTTGAATTAAGTTTCCCTGTATGTGTGTGGCATATGTGTTTGAAAGAGAGCGGCAAATAAATGCCAACAAAAAAACATGCAATGCACACCACATCGACTGGAATGGACACAGCTTGAGAACACATTGATGCCGACAGGACAGATGCCATTTGCTATGGCTGCCTGTGTAGGTTCAGATAAATTAAATGGTTGAACCATCTTGGGAGCAGCAACTTCTGCAGTATTCAGGGCAGCACGAAGCAGAATACTTATAGGGATTGAAGCTGTGACGACTGTGACTGGACCGAATCCTCTGTACATCCCTCGAATCTCATCCATTTTCAGTATGCCTCTAACAACTAAAAATGTATGTTTCTTGACAACATCTCCTGTAGCTACATGAAGCCTGGTTTTGATGAGAGAAACAAGATGCAGTGCAACAGTAAGATCTTTCTCTGAACAATCTTTGCTTCTTGCTGCCTGCAGGAATGGTAGGGATTTTCTTCTACAGCTGATGGGAATTAATCATATTTTTGAAGATTTGTTTGCTAGAGGATGGGGATTATTTTGCTGTTGTCCCGATCCAGATACAAATCCAATTTTACACCACATCCAATTGTTGTTACCATTTTATTTGAGGAGCCAACGTCGTGGCTGTGCACCAGATGATACACTGATTTTTTTTTTTTTTTTGGAATTCTTTGTTGGATGGGAATCCAAGATTCTTTAAAGCTAGGCCGAACTTGAATCAATTAGATGTAGCAACCATATACTTCTTTTAATACACAATATACAGTGAATCAAAGCAAGGAATTTAGTTTGCTAGTCAGCTGTTACGTTCTAAGTTTGATACACAAAAGTGAAGATCTCCCTCTGTTTTCAAGACTTTGGGTTTTGTAACTAGTGGAACCCGAAACCAATTGATCCTACTAGTTTCGTTGCATTTCAAATCTTAAAACTGCCATTTTTACGATTATTAGTCTTGGGTGTTAGTCTTAAATTCTTAAATCTCGTCACAAGTTTATTAATCTTGGGCAGCAGCTCCTCCATAGGAGTTCTGTCACCTAGATTCAAAGATGATAATGTTTCTCTCCTCCAAAAATGCTGCAAAAGTTCTAAGTTTCTTGATTTTAACGCTTGGGCGCAAAGATATTTTAAGTTTTTTGAAATTTAAAGACTAAATTGCAATATAACTACAGTTTCGATCATTTAAAGACACGAGTCTCATGGGCTCAACGACAGACAAAATCACAGGATAGCATAAACAATAATATATAAAAGATTCAAAATATCTAATCAAACTTTTCTAGTTAAAGAGGCACATTTTTATAAGCCTTGGCAAAATTAATTGATGAATCAAATTTCGTGTTGCTAATTTCTTAAAAAATTCATCTTCAATGAACATCATTTCAGAGCACATAAATTTATAAACATATATTAAGCTGGAAAAAATATCAAGAAAATAAACAAAAACCAGATAACAGCTTGACCTTTTGTTTTCCTCCTACTTTTTTATCCTTTAGGCAAGCAACAAAAGGTTGACTTGATTAAAGGAAAAGATAAATCTTTCTGCAAGCTTTGCTAAAACCAAGCGATTGCCCTTGTTACATCTGATTAAGAACTCAGTCCTCATCTTCTTGATCATCTTCAGTATCTTCTAAATCACCACTTTCACCATCACAGTCATGATTATCACCGTCATTGCTATCATCATCTTGGTCTTGATTGTGAACCTCATAATCATCATTTTTTCCTGACCCGGCATATTGCTCAAGCGACATAGCTGGAAATATTTCACCAACCTTGCTTTCATTAAGGGTTGGGGTTTTAGCAGAGCTCTTTGGTTTATCTTTGTTCATCTGTGGAAATAACAGTAATCAGCATATAAAAACCACGTGAAAAGTAAGTATATTGAACACAGAGCAAAGTAAAAAACAATAGACATTGCTACAGTTTCCGCTACAGAGCAATTCTTTCTTTGGATAAGCTATATTAAGTTCCAGGTTGATCAATGATGCTGCTGTAAATAAAACTAGAATCCACATTCCTCAGGTTTTAGTGCAAGTGTCTGGTGTAGGTAATAATTTTTATTCATAGATAGAAGGACTCAATTAACAAAAGTCCAAACATTAGACGCAGATACTTGGACTTGTTTGATATAAGAAATAATTAAAAAGGTACAAGACTATAGGAAGCTATAGCAATTTGATAAACATTACATGGTAAAATCTTTAATGTTAAAAATAACAATTTCATATAATAATGATTAGTAAATAACTCACCAAGTCTTTCTTATACAAAATGTCCAAATTTAGACACTCAAATAATATTGTCCTCATTTCTGTTTCTTTTCACATTTGAACTAAAAAGTCTTCGTTATCGTTTCATAGTATCATATATCATAACCTCTGGTTCTAAACCATCAAATTCAAGCATCCAGCACAGACATCAAGTTTTAGACACATCCCACAACCATGCCGATGTAATGCCCTCTACAACACAAGTCTAGCATTAAAATTAACTGGGGCAACATAGACTACAATCATAATACACAATGTGAAGAGGATAACTAGAAGGAAACTACATGAAAAATAGCTCGGAAAATTGTCTAGATTATCTGTGAAGCTGACATGAAAGCAACATAAAAGTAAAGACTACAAACAAAAATCATTCAGAATTTGATCAGTCTTAAGTATTGTCTCTTCCAACAAAAAGTTATGTTCATGATTTGCTAATGACACTTCAGCTATGAGCTCTCTAAATGTGCTTTAGCTTAAAGGGAAAATGAATTGCAAGAAACTTGCAAAATTTAGAAACTAATTTGTACCTTAATACTCATTAAACTTAGAGATGAATACTTTCCCTAAAGGTCTTGCACATTTTGCACAGGAAGAATCTTTTCCAGATTGTATACTCTGTTTCTACAAAGATTGTAGTAAGTAGCAAGTTCACTAGCAATAGGATACTATAAAATATTTCGAAATGTCAATATAAAGGTTCATGAATAAAACAACATTGTAATACAACAAATAATTCAAGGAAATGATCCTTTCTAAACTTGGACAAGATTGATAACCAGATGAGCATCATTTTAGGAAGCTTACTGCACGTAGTAGAGTTCTCCTGTCCCTTTCCCGTGCATTTTTAATGGCCTGCAACAAATTCAACAGAACCTTCAATTTACAACAATGTCTAAAAAGCTTCTCCACATCATGAAGAAACGATGTGTGATTTATTAAGAGAACTACAAACTAGTATACCTCCTCAAGCATTTTTTGCTCAGCCTCTACTTCAGTTGCGTCTCTACAAGAAAAAATACAAAGTCTCTGATTAGCAAAAAGAAACCCCAGAAGTTGTTTTGTTAAATTCTCGTCTAATTCTACCACAACGTAAGAATTGAACAAGAATTTTTAACCAAAATAGTGCTAAAAATATTTTGCTAGCAATAACATATTCAAAGAATCTCTTTTTCTACACCAAAAAAAAAAAAATCAATGAATCTCAATTCACTCCAGAAACCTTCCAAGTATATGATCCACTTTGCAACAACACTTCGCGCACACATTATGCTCCTTTGCACAACCTACATGATCAGTACTCAACAAATCAAAAAATTAAAACAAAGACCTTTCTGATTTCTCAAGATACAATTCAAACTTCAAACACAAATTTTCCCAGAAAAGTAGGTTTTCTTTTTCCAATTGAAGAGAACACTTCCCATCAAACCAAACCAAACAGAGGTATAACAAGTTACAAACTGACCAAAACATAAATTGTGGTAAGCCTGACGAACATTGCGTTTGGAACATCTCTGACTGCAGCCAACAAAAAAACCAAAAGAACAAAAAACCCAAGAAAAGCAATGAATTTAGTTCGGAGTAATTGATCAGGAAGCATAAATGTGCTTATAGAAACAAGAAAAGCACTTTAAGTTAACGGGAAAAGGAATAAGAACCATTTGGCAGGCTCTTTAAGAGGCTTGTATTTGCCATAAAGGCGTTTCCAATCGATCTGTTCTTTACAGCGAGAGCAGACTCCCGTGATCTCGGAGTAGGGTTTCAGCCTACCCCCAACTTCCTAAAACAAAAGTAGAAATAAAGGTAATTTCTTCAATTTTCCTGCCAAAAAACAAAGAAAGTGTTTTTGTTTTTGTTGAGTTACCGTCTCGTTGATCTTGAGGCCGGCGTTAGGTTTCCAGGCGTATCGATTTTGATGCTTTGGCGGGCCTCTTCTTGTGCTCATCTTCTTCCTCCCGCTGCTGCTCCTGCTGCCGCTATGGAAGGACGAAAGAGGGCGTAAAAGGTTTTACAAAATTTGGAAGAAAAAAAAAAAAAAAAGTGTTGCACGCAGTATAATTTTAGATTTTTTTATAATTATATCAAAAATATAATATTATAAAATTTATTAAACCAAAAAAATAAATAATAAAATATGAAAAATTATACCTCCGGTATAATAAAACTTATTCACGTTTCCTAAAGTGTATTGAAAATTTGTGTACATTTTATCGATGAAATCAAATTGTATGCTAAAATTCTTAATAAATTAATATGTTTATTTTATGATAATTTAATGAAGATAAATTAAAAATATTATATTAAAATGATTAAATTAAAGGTATACATTATATCTAGATAATAACTTATAAATGAGTGGATGATATAGATATTTTAAAGTTTGAAAATTCAAATGTATAAATAATTATATATATAATTACACTAATTGCATTTTATTAAAAAAATTTAAATAAACAATTATTATATATATTACCATATGTTTAGAGAATCTAAATATCACCATACTAATTTTATTTTTATATTTAAAATTATTTGAAACATTACTTTTACTCAACTTAAAATTAAGTTAAATTTTATGCTTAGAAAATCAAATATATAATTACTATGTATCTTATTATAATAACTTTTTATATTTAAGAATTTTTAATAAATAATTATTATGTATACTATTATATTAATTTTGTTTTCATAGTTAAAAGTTATCTAATTACACTTCAATTCTATAATAAGAAATAAGGTGAAAGATTTTTATCTGAATCAGTGTTCGAAATACTGAACTTTCTACTGCGCTTACTGACAGTTTTCGAATTTTCTGAATTTTTTTATGGAGATTAAAATACACTTTACGTACTTAAAAATATATCATAAAATCTAAAATCGGTGTTAAAAATATTTTTCGGCCAATTTTAAAATTCCGGTACGGCGGCACCGCCATGCTCCGGCGATGGCACCACCGCCCCCGACCTGGCCATTTTCGGTCGATTTTATACCAATCATTGCGAGAAAATACGTTAGGAGATCTCGGTGGGCCCAAAAAAATCAAAAAATAAAAATTTACTGGCGGCAAAATTTTTTGATGCGATGGCTTCGCTGGCTCACCTTCGCGGCTGTGCCTTTTTCTTCGATTAACCTGTAGAAAACAGAACGGTAAACACAATAGTAGAAAAATTGCATGAAACAAAAAATCGGAAGGGGTTCATCGGATGCGATTTTTGAGTTTTTTCGTGATCGCGCTGCTGGACTTTACCCACAGTTTTCGCCTCATCCACCATTTTTTTTGCTCCGATTTAACCATGAGAGTGTTTAAAATTAAATTTCAAGTGGATATGAGAATTTTTACCTTTTTTGATGGTCAGAGGTGGCTTCGGTACGACGTTGTGCGGTGGTCAGCTCTTTTCTCCCGTGACTGGTTCTTCTTTTCTGGTCGAAGGCTGGTGGCTACGGTTTGAGTTCGGTGTGAAGTAAGATATTTATACCTATCTTCCTTAAATCTAGGCCGTCTATCACTTTTGATCTCGACCGTCCAATCATGTTTAAAGAGAAAATGAATTTAAATAGTTTATCGCGATTTGATATAGACCGTACGATTGCGTTTAAAGAGGGAACAAATTTAAATCGTTCATCGCTTTTAATTGCAACTGTTCAATCGTGCCTGAGGAGGGAATAGATCTGGACTGTCCACGCGCGCGGAAATGCATCTGGGTCGTTCGATCGCAGGCACACGAATTGTCAGCGTAGCCTCTTGTGTGGCACCAAGTCAGCGTGCCTTACCACACGACGTGCTCCGGTTCATCGATGCTACTGACTGGGCGGTGCTACGTGGTATAATTTTTTTAATTACATTTTGATACCCAATTTCTGATTTTTTTTTAAAAAATACTCCCAAATCCAAATTTTTATCCATTTTTTAAAAAATTATTTTCAATTTTATTTTCTACTTATTTTTTTCTAATTTTATATTAAATAAAAATTTATAAATTTAAAAATTATATTTTTATACATTTATTATTATTTTATATTTTAAAAATTAATTTCGAACCAAATTTTAAAATCGGTCATTATAGTGTAACTTAATGCAAATCAAAAATTAAAATTTTCTAATATTTATATATAACTATTACATTTAAACTTTAAAAATTTATAACTATAAGTATTGGAGCAACCTAAAACATTGACTTTACGGGATGGGTCCGGTTCAAAGCAGGCTGGCACAAGAATTAATCCCGGCCCGACCCGCAAACACAATTTATTATTATGAACATAAACCTGAAAATTCAAAAGTATGTCTAGAAAATTTTCACCCTGATTCATTTGCTAAAGAAGCTCTTATCATCGCTCGTTGTCGTACTGATGGAGATGTCTGTCCTTGATTCTAACACATGGTCACCGATGCTACTAAAAAGGTCAACGCTATCCTCCATCATCGAAGACGAAATCACGTAGTCTTTGATCGGAATCTCCTCATGATCTACCTCCTTAAATTTGTACTCCACATCCTTCTCCGCCTGCTTTTGTAACTGCAACGCGAACTCTAAACCCCACAAAATGTCAGCCATTGACGGCCGTTTAATTCCCTCGTCTTGCAAACATCGAATTGCTATCTCGGTGAATTGTTTGAAGCACTCCGATGAGATTTGCCTCTTTAGTAAAGGATCAACTATCTGATCTAGACTCCCGTTCCGTTGGCATTGTTGAGCCCACGCCGCTAAACTTACTTGCTTCTTCTCCGCCGTCCGATGAATCGGAGGTCTTGCAGAAAGCGTTTCTAATAAAACAACACCAAATGAGTAGACGTCTGATTTTTCCGTCAATTGCTGCCGTCTATAATACTCTGGGTCTAAATACCCCAAACTTCCTTTCACGACGGTGCTGACGTGGGTCCTTGACGGGTTCGTAGGGCCCACCTTCGATAAACCAAAGTCCGATACCTTCGCTGTCCATTTCTCATCCAACAAAATGTTTGTCGTTTTTACGTCGCGGTGAATTATTGTCTGCTTCGCACCTGTATGAAGGTAATGCAGTCCCCTAGCCGCTCCTATGCAGATCTCCAATCGTTGGGTCCAGAAAAGAGAAGGGTTGTCGGAGTTATAGAGATGATCACGAAGAGTTCCACGCGACATGTAGTCGTATACCAGGATCATCTCGCCGTCGTCGTTGCAGTAACCGATGAGGGAGACCAAATGCATGTGTCTAAGCAGGGAGAGCATCTCGATCTCCGTCTTGAACTCGTGAGCCCCCTGTTGTGATTCAGGGTTCAAACGCTTGATGGCAACCGGTGTGGCATTCTCGTCGATGAGCCCTTTGTAGACGTTGCCGAACCCTCCGACACCGATGATGAAAACATCGTCGAAGTTGTTGGTGGCGGCTTTGATCTCGGGAAGTGAGAAATGGCGGCAGAGGTCGGATGGCAAGGAGGAACCGTCGCGAGTCTTAGATGATTTGTTTATGGTGGTTGCATAAGAGAAGCCGTGCCACCAGGAGCCTCCATCGGTTGATTCGTATGAATATCTGGTTCTTCTTTTTCGCTGAAAAATGAAGAAGCCAAGCAGAGAGAGTATAAAGAAGGCTGCTGCTACACTACCAAGTACGGCGAACATTGTGGTGCGGTTATTCTTGGGTTTTGTTGTGGGCTCTGGAGTATTGGTTGTGCCAGTATTGATTTGGACATCTGGGTTGGGTGCGGAGAGATCACCATTGTTGCTGAGTTTAAAGATTTCAACTCCATTCAAGATTGCATCAGAACGTGAAGTTCTCCATTCTGGAGCAGGGTGCAGGGCAATGGTGAGATTTTGTTTGTTTTCGGTACCTCTAGCCCCTATCTGTACAGCATAATCCTTGTACACTGGAAACCCACTTCCACCACTCCAACCAATCACGTCTGCTATTGTTTCTGCTGTTTGATCCGCTAAAAAGATCTCAAAAACCCTATCTCCCTCTTTTTGTATCTCACCTTGGAACTCGCAAAAATGCATTCTAACCATGTATATGAAAGCAGAGTCTACAGGAAACTTCCACGTGAGGTTGTAGTTTTCGTTGATAGTCTTGTTTAACCCCATTGTTCTGGCCGTGGTATAAACTGCTCTGGGCGCAGAATAATTTTGAGTATTTGCAGAGAAAGTGAGAATAATTGTATTATTAGCAGGAAGAGCGCTGGGTCTAGCATCTGTCAAGTAGTCAACATCCTGTATCCAGGCACGGTACATGCCAGTGTCATCTCCAGGTGAGATTGCGTTGCTGCCAACATTTACTCGGTACATCATCTCGAGCGCTGTGTCATTTGTAATCGGGAATGGGTTAACTCCGCCGACAAGCTTGAACCCCTCATCACCTGCTGGAGTAAAATAAAAATTGGTAGGCATGGAAACGATTTCAATTCCATTGATAAAGGCGTAAGCACCAGGCAGTGGAGTGAAAGTTATGCTGAGTTCCTGGTCTTGTTCAACGTTGATGCAGAATTCTCTGATAACAATGTCGTCACCCAAATAAGCAGCATGAAGGGAAGCACTAAAATTGCGAAGAAGGGTGAAGCGACCGGCCGTGACAGAGAAGAAAGCGTCAAGGGCAAGGTCAACATTATTTGTGTAAGAAGTGGGGTAGAAATGCAAGCGAATGAATTTTTGGCCTGATGTAAGGGGAAACACATAGGTGAACTTAGAGGTGGAGAATCGGGCATCAGAATATGGAACTGACCCAGAACGAGATTGTTGAAGTGATTTTGAAGTGCTTGAGGGGATATCGCGGTCGAATAAGAGGAAGGTCGAGTTGTTGTCTGCAACCCATTTGCGGTGCTGAGTGGTGGTGTTGGTTTGGGAGGCGCAGTCCAAGGCAATATCCAGAGCGGTGAAAGCAACGACGGGTAGATATTTGTGGAGGAAGAAGAAGAAGAAGAAGAAATGAAAAAGGATTTGGAGGCAGACATTTCTTTTGTTGGTTCTCTTCATTTGCGAGGATAATGGAGAGAAGGCAGAAAAGAAGGTGGCTTGTGGTAGGCTAATAGAGATGAAAGACGAAGAAGCTTAAGTGGGAAATTGTTAGAGAAGGGGAAAAATTCTGCATGTTGACGTCTCCTTTATGATTTTTGATTGGCGGAAAAATAATTAATTTTTTATTGTTTGAATTGGTCAATGTGGGTCCCATGATTCATGAGATGTCGTTTTGTGTTTGCGTGAAGAAAAATAGGAAATACATTTTCGTTTGATTTAAAAGCTTAGCTAACTTGCAGGAAATATGGCCCACCAAATTGTCTAAATAGATATTGATTTGTTGGTCCCAAAATTATATACACACAAGTCAGGGAAAGAGACCGTGTGTGAACGCGTTTTGGTGGGTCCCCTCCCCTCCCCTCCAAGTCGTCAATTTTATGTAGTGAGTTTTGTCTATCTTCCGGAAAATATTAAATGTTTAAATTTATTCAAACAGATAGAAAAGAAAAAGCTAATGACTACTAGTTAATCGTTTGGAATTATTCAAGAAAGTTCTCGTGCATTTTACTTTGTAGGGTCGAGTAAAAGGATACAAGGAGATTGACTGTTAATTTCTTGGAAAGTAGTATTAAGTCCGACTATTATCTACATAAAATTTCCATGACATATTATATATATAAATATATGTATTGAATGTTATCTAAAAAAATGTTAGAATGGAGAATCCTAAGTCATTAAAAATTAAGGTTGTGTGCCTAAATAGCATGATATATATTATATATGTGTGTGTGTGTATATTTATAAAAAATAGCCTTTGTAAACTAGTTATTTATCTTTTGGTCCCAAATGATGCTTTAAATATATACTAAAACTAAAAAAGGGTTAAAGAATACAATTGTTCTCTAATATTATCTCTTGGAAAAAAAAATTATAATTTATTTTATAGTATCCAGCTGTACACCAGCTGAGTAGAAAAGAAAAGAAAAATGAAAAATAAATAATATACATAATTAATTATAAAAAAGAAAAAGAAGGATGTGGAAGACTTAAAGCGGCAAATATATACATATATATGTATATATATGTACGAAAATAGCAGGAAAAAAAAAAAGGAGAAAGAAGAAAAAACAGATAGAGAAGAGAGAGGGCTAAGTGATGTCGAGGCCGAGAGAGCGAAGTGAGAGGAGGAGCCTAAGTCGCGTGAGGAGGAGGACTGCACGACAGTCGCGAAGGTGGGACGCGGCGGAAGGGGAGACGTTGCGTGAAGAAGAGGAAGAAAAAAAGAAAAAGAAAGAAGAAGAAGAAGAAGAATAAGAATAAGAGAAGAATAAGGGAAAAGAAAAAAAAGGGGAAGAGAAGAAGAAGGAGAAGAAGATAGAGAAGAATCATGGTCGGATAGAGAGAGAAAGAGGAGAGAGAGAGTGTGTAACGACTCCAAAAATTTCAAAGGAAATAAATTATAAATTTAATGCAGAAGCGAAATAAATAGTTAGGGTTTACATTTCTTACACAATAATTAAAAGTACCGAATAGAGCTTACTAGAATAACTCTTTTAAAAAGACAACTAATAACCAACGAAATAAATTAAAAATAAACAAACTGAACGTCTTACTTACAATCTTCTTGTGGATAGGGCTCTGGATCCTGGTCATCTTGATCTAAAATAGTTAATGAAAGAATGAGGTACACTAGCCCAGTAAGAATATCACGCTACTCAAAGACACAGAAATGAAGGTTGGTAGAAATAATAAAAACAACTAATAGAGTTTTTAATTAAGCAAACTCATTTATTATAAATAAAATCATTTGCCGTCTACTTGCCATAGCGAGATTTACAAAAACAACCTATAAAAATAATAACATAACACATATCATGATTTTATATGCAATCGGTTGAAACAACAATTTTCCCTTTTATCAACTTGTTAGTATCGATGGGGGTCCATAGGGATGTCCTCACTACGCGTGAATCATTTCCTTTAACATTTTCAATTAAACGGACTGTCCCCATACCCCGTTTGATATGAGCACTAAATTACCAAACCTCAATACTCCGTCCGGTATGAGGGTGAAACGAGTTGTCCCCATACCCCGTTCGGTATGAGTACCAAATTATCAAGTCCCGATACCCTATCTAGTATGAGGCAACGTTTACGGTAGGGTTTCTTATGTACTCGGTCCGTCCACCATCTCCCATGATATCCAGAAAGACTGTCGTTTCATCCATTCACTTAATCAAACAATTTTTCAATTCAACCGTAATAACATAAAACAAACAAAACATGCATCAAAGAAATACAATCGCATCTCAGTTTTCTAATTTAACTATAATCACATAAGGTAAGCAATACATGCATTCAAAACTATAAAATCGATCAATCAGCTATTATTGTGTATTCAAACTGTAAAATAAATCAACAGAATCAACAATAAATAACTTCCGGTTTTAGCTCCATTAGTAACCTATAATTAATTATAAATATTTTATAAATTACACAAAATACCGGATTATTATTAATTAGACTTCAACTTCATAATAGAGAATAAGGTGATGGATTCTTACTCAAATTGATACCCGAGATATTAAACTTGTTGATTGCGCCTACTGGTGGTCCCCAGGTTCTCTGAATTTTCCTTCGGAAATTAAAACGTACTTCAAGTACCTAGAACTATTCCAAAAAATCCAAAAGTAGTGTTAGGACCCCTTTTTGACTAATTTCAAAATTTTGAAACGGCGGCTCCGCCGTGCTACAGTGACGGCATTACCGCCTGCGGTGTCGGTTTGCCTCGGGTCAGCTATTTTTGACCGGTTTTATATCAATAACTACGAGAAAACATGTTAAGGGGCCTCGGTTGGCCCAAAAAAATTGAAAAATCGAAAAATCAAAACTCACTGACGGCGGAGTTCTCCGGTGCGGTAGCTCTTTCAACTCACCTTCGTGGTTGGGTGTTTTGCTTTTGTCAACATGTAAAGAAGAAAACGGTGATTATAATGGTGAAAGAATTACGTAAAATGAGAATTAGAAAGGCCCTCATCGGAGGCGATTTTTATAATTTCTTGCAGCTGCGGTACCGAGCTTTGCCCGTGGTTTCTGGCTAATCTACTGATCTTTTTACTCCAATTTGGCTATGGAGGTGTTTAAAATCAAATTTTGAGCAAAGAAAATTTTTTTTACCTCTTTTGGCAATCGTAAGTAGTTCCGACGCGGCGATGGGGGAGGTCGGCTTCCTTCCAGTGATTGGGTCTTCTTCTCTAGCGAGGGGGTATGGCGGCTAGGGTTAGGGTTTGGTGTAAGAGGGTTATTCATATCCGTCCCTTCTAATATGGGTTGTCCATCTCGTTTGATCTGGACCGTTTGTTCGCATTAAAAAGAGAGTGATCTAGCCATTCATCGTGATTTATCTGGACCGTTTGATCGCATTTAA